GATTGTTAGAAATGAAAGGAAGGAATACAAAGTTTGCCAATACCAGGACTGAAAAGTTGATGATACATGGATTTACATATAGATAAGGGGTGGGTTATGTATGGGAACATGAGATACGTTTGTAATCTTACAGGGGATAAAGAGTTATCAAATTTGTTTTTACTTGTGATAAAGATTGGAAGTCACGTTACAGATTTTTTTAATCTTTTTCTTTCTTTGCACTTTTTATACTTTTATTTTTCTGAATTTAATTTTACAATGTAACTACACTATTTAATAAAAAATAACATTTGACAACCTAGTTTTAATTTTAAATGCCTTCATTATTCTGGGATAGTGATTTCATGTATGGTTGTATATATTTTTATTTCCTGTATTATCTTTTGATTTGCTGCTGTGCCTTTTACTATTTTTTAATAGCTTACACTATAACCATAAAACTAATTACTGGATTAAAAATTACCTAATAAAGTATTACACACACAGAAATTAATGAAACTGCAAAAAGTATCTTTACTCATCTGCATAAAGGCAGGTATATTAGTCATATAGCATATTTCCCATCTTTAAATAGGAGTTACTTAAAAAAACTAAATCTTGGATTTATCAAAACATATTCTAATACGTGCTTAAGGAACATTACTATTGATTACAGGGGAATGATATACTGCATATATAGGTATGTGGTTAATGCTGGGATTGACAAGCATATATTGTGTATATATGGGTGGTATATATATCATTAAGAACATATGTGTGTGTGTGTGTGTGTGTGTGTGTGTGTGTGTGTGTGTATATATATATATATATATATATATATATATATATATATATATATATATATATATATAGTTATGGGTGGTTTAAAGTAACTTAAAGAGAGAAAAAATGAAACTGCCACACCATCACAACAAATACACAGTAACCTATAAACATGACTCTTTGGCAGTCACAAAAATAAATTGTATAGTAGAGAATGGTCTTTTCAACAAAACATCCTATGTTTAAATTTAAAAGGATTATTTATAAACATTATTTGAATATCTGGCTACTAATTTCAAAATAGTAACCTTTGGTGGCAAATACAGGGTTACTGACAGTGATATCTATACCTAATGGCAACTGAAGAAAACAAATCAGCAGATGACCTACCAGTCTCACCGTTCAAGGTAATCTTCCAACCCCATAGCGATGTTTTAAAAGTTTTTATGAAATGCCAGCAGTGTTAGGGCCAAACTGGATCTTGGAAGGGTAGAGTGTTCTTAAGGTCACACATTGTGATAGAAAAGTCTTCTAGGCCCTAGCAAATGACATTTTTTGATAGATGGAATTTGATATTTCAAGTATTTAGCAAGGGAAAAAAATTGTGAGCCTCTACAAGGAACAGGCTACTCTTGGCAGCCCCAGTCCAGATTCATTTTTTTATCCTACAGAACGGGTCCCTAACCCCTGGTCCATGGACTGGCACCAGGCCATGGCATGCCAGAAACTGGGCCGCGCAAATGAGTGAAGCCCTATTCGCGGAATGCAGGCAGCATGTGCCTCTCTGGTCCACGGAAAAACCTCTGTCTATGGAACTTGTCCCTGGTGCCCAAAAGGTTGGGGGCCTCTGCTATAGAACACTTCTCTCCCCATCCATCTTGGTGTTAATAATCAGTATCAGTGTACTTATATTTTAGGGACAAAAGACCGAACAGTTTGCCCTTTAAATCCTACAAAAATAAAAAGACTTATAATTAAGCTTGACAAAGGCTATAAGTATTTTCTTTTTTGTATATTTCCATATTTTAACATATTTTTATTGATGAGTTATTGACAGCAGTAAAATAATTTAGGATCAGGATTCATCATAATAATATATGGAGTTGTGCAGAAAAGTGAAATCCATTACATTCCTTAGTAAAAAGAGCTTGTTCAGAGTACATATTCCCTTTTTTTGGCCTCCAGTTAAGTAGTGGGTGTCACTCTTGTTACTTCCATCTAGGGATCTGCTGTAATTTACAAAATATAATAGAAACGTAAGAGAAGTATGTACCTATGGTGGCAAAAAAAAATTGAGTCTGTTGGTACCTTTTTTGATTAACAAATTTTTAGGTAGTTGGAAAATGTCAGACCCAGCCCAAGGATGACATAGAACAATCCAGCCAAAGTCTAGCTCTTTGTTTACACTGTATAGAGAGAATCTTGTCTACACTGCTCTAAACTGTCAATATACTGTGAGAGATTCTAGGACTATCATAAATCTCTTCCATTTTTTCTGATCCAAGTCCAGGCTGTGTTGTCTCTTATCTCGACCATCCTTGAAATGTGCTTCTTCCCTGGGAAACTGCTGCTTCACTGTAATCCATCACATCATTTCCCCCTTCGTAGACACAATCGAACACAGAAAAGGTGCTACCAAAACATCTTCTATTTTAATAGAATATTGTTCCACAGAATATGCAAACTAGCAAGCTTTTGCAAAGTAGTCAAATTTGCAGTCATCTTGTGGATGCATCCAGTTTATTTTAAGGGCAGGTTTTTTTGCAATGCCTATTACTAATTTCACCTGTACGATCTTGCCATGCTTATTAGTACGAAGATACTGAAATGGTAGATAGTTTCTGCCTTTTAGGATCAAGCATAAAAATGCTACATATTAGTACTTGGTAGAATAGCCATGAAGGCCTTGGAAAAGATATTCAAATGCTGTGATGTATCTATACCTTCAAAAATCAGACTGGTGCAAGCTATGGTATTCCCTTATGGAAGCAAAAGTTGGACTTTGAAGAAACAGGAGAAGAAAAGTACTGACCCCTTTGAACTTTGGTGCTGGAGAGAATCCTGAGAGTATGGTAGACAGAGAAGAAAACAAATTAATGGATCATCAAATAAATCAATTCAGTGATTCATCATTGTGATCATTGTGTTCTCCCTCGATTACAAATTACTAGTTTAAATTATCCTATTTTGGCACAATATGTGAAGACACAGCTCTTTAGAAAAGGCTCTAATGCTGGAAAAGATGGAAGGAAAGTGGATGACCAGTAACAAGATGGATGGAGTCAGTTATAGTGGTAATGAACGCACCATTGAAAACTTGACAGTTAGGGACAGATCACTAGGAGTCAAAAATGACTTGATGGCTTATAATTAATTAATAATCTGCCTTTTTGTGAGAGCAGCCTTCTTTTGGTATTGAACGCACCTGGAATGCATGTTGGAGCTAAACAAATGTAACAGATTTCCAGGTATATTAAGATTCTCCCTTCTTGCACTCTGAAATCTGATAAAGAAAACTGCTGCCTCTATTCTATCATAATGCAAAGCCAGAGCAAGAGAAAATACAATGAAGTAAATAAAGCATTGACATAGACTAGAGCAAAGATATATAACATGAACTTCCAAAGGCTATTGGGGAAGAGTAGCTAGTTTGTAATATTTTTCACTTAACAACCTTATGATCAATAGCAAATCATAAAACATGTTTTACTTATCAGAGACTTTTGTGCCAAGTATTTATCACTTCAACATTGAAGTCTTGGGTTAATTATTTAGTCCTTCTAGGGTACCTGTGATTTTAGTTTTGAGATCACTGGACTATGCCATACTGGATCTAGGCAAATGACATTATTACCTAGTTGCACAAGCAATTATTCTAGTATACAGACACTCAGTTGCAGGTCATTCTTTGTGTCTCCCATTTCAGGTCTCTTGCACCCCCTCCATCCAAACCAAACCCTGTTTTTTGAGACAACTTTGCCCAAAGTGACTAAGTATTTTAAGCACGTGCAACAATATACTTTCTTTTATGTGGTCCAAGCCATGTGTGAGAGGTTGAGACTGCATTTGTTACAATGGGAGACTGAGTATCCTGGTGCTTTTTCACAAGTGAGAACAGCACGTTTTAGTACAGCTAGTCCTTGATTTACAATCACAATTGAGCCCAAAATTTATGTTGCTGAGTGAGACATTTGTTAAGTGAGTTTTGCCCCATTTTATGACCTTTCTTGCCACAGTTATGTGAATTACTGTACTTGTTAAATTAGTAACATGGTTGTTAAATGAATCTGGATTCCCCATTGACTTTGCTTGTCAGAAGGTGATCACATGGTCTGAGGAGACTGCAACCATCGTAAATATGAGTCAGTTGCCAAGCATCTGAGTTTTGATCACATGACAATGAGGATGCTGTAATGGTTGGGTGAAAAATGGTCCATTTTTTCAGTGATGTTGGTCACTAAATGAACTGTTGTAAGTTGAGGACTATCTGTAGTTTCAGAGTAGGAGGGTTTAAAATGATCTTTGCTAGAGATCAAACTGCAAATGGTCTGACCCTGACATTAAAAAATTACCCAAGAAATTTACATTGCCAATTGTACCACAGGCTGAGCCACAATAAAAGATGGCCTATAAATGTAATAATAAAAACCTGTACGGAGAACCCATATGCCAAGACTGGAATTAGATGGGAGGCTCCCCTATGACTAATACTATCCTTTCAGTAGTTAGCTTAGCACAGTTACTGTTTGCAGATTGAATTTCAAAAGAGGCCGTAACTAATCTTGGAATTGGAGAAGTGAGCAACTTATCTGCCTGCATCACTAGCTGATTTTGACTCCATTTCATTATAGGCAATTCTCCTCGAGCTTTAACTCTCACCGTTTCCAGCTAAAGGCAGGAGGTTTTTATGGATGCATTTCAAAATGGGGCGGGAGTCACCATTTTAGAGAATGTTATCCAGCTTGCGGATATTTCCATCTTTACACTTCAAAAGACTCCGGGCTTTTAAAGCCGATCCACCCTCACCCTCCTTTCGACCTTCCGCCGCCTCCATCTCTTCTCTACCAATAGTTTCAGACTCAGATCGTGGACAGGTTAGATAGGCTTTCTCCGAGAGGGATTCCATCGCCTTCTTTCTTTCTTTTTTTCTTTTCTTTTTTTTCACAAAACCCGCCAATAGGAACGAGGCTTTCCCGCCAGAGCGGCCAATGGCGGGAAGAAGCGCTGGTGTCGCGAGAAAGGCCGCTGGTGCTATTGAGCGCGTGCGGTGGCGGCGTTGCCAGGAGAAGTGGGCGTGGCCGGCTCTGCGCTTGCTGCCGTGAGAAGAGGAAAGATGGCGGAGGAGGAGAAGCTCCCCGCGGGCTGGGAGAAGCGCATGAGCCGCAGCTCCGGTACCGCCGCGGAGGGAAGGGTTGAGGTTGGGTCTGGAGGGGTGTCCCGGGAGGTTGTTATGTGCACGTCCCCGTCTCAAGCGACGAGAGAGGGCCTGACACACGGAGGTTGGGGGGGGCGGGGTCAGTGAGGCCTTTTTTTTACCCGAGGGAGTGGCGGCCTTTTTCCTTTGGAAAAGAAGAGTTCCCGTGAAAAGACGGTTGAAGACGGGGAGAAAAATCTCTGGTCTCGAACGGAGGCATTTGAATTTGGATGGAATGCTTTCTGAGGGGTATTCAGTAAGGCGTACGTGTTCGGGCGGGCTGCATGCTAAACGCCTGCTGCTACGGCTTCTTCGAAAAAACAGTGCAGGCTCTTGAAAACTGGCATTATGTATATCGCTTCCTTCCCCCCTCTCCATTCTTTTTTAAATCTTCCCATTTCTCTCAGTATTCTTTTGCCCTCCTTTTTTGCTCCATCCCCCTTTCCCCCCCTCTCCCCATAGCTATTCCTTTCTTTGACGCTGTTTTAAAACAATAAAAAATAAACTTCCAATTTTACCATCGTTTTTCTTATTCGTTTCAATGAAATAAGCACCCACCCACCCACCCCTACCTGCCTTTTAAGGGGTTTTCCCCATAGGCCATTTCATTAGGAATCTTGTGTTTTCCATGACTAAACTCCAGAATTATGTAAATGAAGGTAATTTGGCACCTTCCCAGTTACATTTTTGACCCGATGCTGTGAATTCAAATAGTGATGTGCGTTTCTGGGACGGGAGAGGGGAGGAGCTGTTGTGAAAATCATGGAAGGAACTCTGATGAATCAGAGGAAGGGTTCCTCCACTGCAGTAACCAGAAAATTAGCAATGGTGGCCATTCTGAAGCATTTAGGAAACAAATCAGCAGAACTTGAAGCTGTTTGTTGTACCTCTTTTCCACTATTCCCCTCCCAAATATGCAAACAGTATGCAGCATTAATTCCCGAACATGGACACTCTCATTTATTTTAAGAAAAGAACATAATATCTTCGCTCGTGAATTTGCTTGTGAATTTGCTTAATCTCTTCTTCAAACACTTGATTTTATAGCAGTGAATTCCCTACGTTATGCATTTTGTAAAAGCATTTGCTTGTGGCAATTCTCTATCATTGTGTGAACTCAAATTCTAGTTTTCTAAAAAACAGAAAATGCCAGTTAATTTTCTCCATATTCATCATTTTGCAAAAAAATTACAGTTACTTCTATCATCAATGTTCCTACTGCTGTTGCACGATGATTTAACTTCTTTTGAGCTCTCCACCATGACCCTATTTGCCATTTTCATGCCTGCTTATCAGTTCGAAGGTATATAATGGGAAGATTTCACTAGATTAAATAATTTGTCTTCTACAAATTATTTTATCTGTTACCTTGTCCTCTAGCCCGTTTAAAACATGTATCGGTCCCTTGGGAGACTGATTTGTGATGCATACTAGCCATTTATTGCTACCCTCAACTTCCTACTTAAACTATTTCTGATTAATTAGATTTATTCTCTTCTCACATACTTTATAGAAGCCTTTGGTGAGGAAGTTTTTCATGCATTTGTATAAAAGTATAAGTAACTGGCCACTATACATGTTTTCTAACACTAATTGAATTTGAAAAGGTTTTAAGGTAATATATTCCTTTATAGAAGATACACTGTTCAGCAAAGTGCTGTTTTTGGATATTTAATTCAGCCCCTGATTTTGATTTCAATCAATTTATCTGAAACAGTTTCTGGGTCTATAATATATTTTTATAAAAAGAAAAAAGTATATTACCTTTTGAATAATGACTGATTATAACAACTGCATTGCATTATGACATTTCTCCCCTGATTTTCATCCAAGGTGGAGGCAGGGCTCCTGCCCATATTTTATCTTGGTAACCACTCTGCAAGAAGGTAGGCTAGGTTGAAAAATAATTATCCATTTGAGATTTTATAAGTGGTATACATTGGAAGCTGGATTTCCCCAAAAGTACTATAGTTTGACCATGCTTTAGCTACAATATGCCATCTAAACGCATAGTTTTTTAAAAAAAATTAGTATGTCTGTTAAACCTAAATGTAATCCTGTTGCATCTGCTTGATATAATTCTTTCTCCTTTTAGAAAATAGGCTTTGTTGACTGCATTTTCTGCAATCATGGCAAATGCATTCAGCTGCTCTGTAGTTTTGCTTAGTATTCTTTTCAGTCTTGTAATTCTGATTTTCCTCCCTCCACTTCTGGTGGATTTAGAGATACTGCAGTTGGCTTGCTAATTATTAATAAGCCAAACATTACTTGGAAAAATGCATCTTTTATAACAATTTGCTCAAAATTATTTTAATATTTGCAGAAGTAGAAAAACATTGATAAAGCAAATGGTAAAACCTCTCCCCCCTACAGCAGTGTTTCTCAACCTTGACAATTTTAAGGCATGTGGACTTCAATTCCCAGAATTCCACAGCCAGCAACGCTGGCTGTGGAATTCTGGGAGTTGAAGTCCACATGCCTTAAAATTGTCAAGGTTGAGAAACACTGCCCTACAGCATTAGAAAGGATTACATGTGTGTAGTCACAGGAAATAATAGAAAGAGGAAGGACTACAGATCAAATCAGGAAGTACAGAGGCATTTAGCCAAGCTACTTGCTCTCAGCAGGGGATATATTCTCAGAGCATTAGACAGGTTCATATTGTCCAAGGAAGAAAATTGTGCTAAGAGATGGAGGACGAAAAAGAAAAAGGTAGGATGTATTGAAGATTTGTGGAGTACAAAATATTTTAAAAAGAACTGAAGGGGTTATCCACCTCTCTTCCCTGCCCTAATGAATAATGACTGAATATGCCAATCAGCCTTGTGGAATGTCTTATCAGTCAGAAAGAGAAACAGGAAACAAGAGAGGAGTTATATTGGATGAGTAAAATTCTGAGTGTGAACACTCACATTCTGCAGCATTTTGTTGAAGGTCCTACTTAGGCTTTCTAAATCGCTTTGCTTTTTCATTTACTTTATCAAAAAGTCAAATTTGCTTTTGTTGGCATTGGGTTCTTTTTGCTCTTCTTAATTTTAGACTTCCACTTTTTAAAGGAAGTTTTTTTTGTCTCATGACTGTTCGTTAACCACAGCGACATCTTCTCAAATCTATTTGCATCTCTTATAGCCGAGTTTGCATTCATTATATTGTTAGTAACCCTTTTTCTTTCAGAAAACTGGAACCTTCCTGCAGTAAGTCTGCTTTGACTTATGTTTAAACTAATGTACCTATTTTGAGATGGCCATTTTTGAAGTTAAATATCACATTGGGCTTCCCCTACAGATTTCACTTTATTCTTAAATTTCTTATGCTGCCCATACAGTGACTCTGAGTGGCATAGAATTTTTTAAATTTGATAGCAATATAGTTTATAATGAGCACCAGATCCCTGACACCACTTTGGCTAGAATTGTAAGTAGCTATTGTATAGTCAGCATGCAGTATTTTAGAAATGTCATGATTTATTTGGGACTATTTATCTCTATAATGTAGGAGGAAGATAGCACCCAGATTTATAGGATTTCTCTAACTGGTTCATTTCTCCCCAACTTATAATGGGTTGTGGAAATATTGTACAGGTCTGGGAACATGGTACATAGGCTGGTATTTTTATCTGAAAGAAATTTGCTTTTAGGTTTGGGCTCTGTATATCTTTGAAGCATACATATACAGCTGCATTACATTCTGTGTACTTTCCTGTTTATGTATACATTTGATATCTGAATATAATAATAACACTTCCTATTTTGCAAGGTTTCTCATTTATTCATATATCTACCATGTTTACCTGTTTGGGTCAGAATATTTCTGGCACTATTGTGTGAAAACATACATATTATGTAAATCAGGTTTGCAAAATATATGACATCGCTTCCATGACCTGCAGAGTTCATAGAATTTTTTAAAAAGCCTCCCTTTTCCAGTTTTGGAAGGGGGTTAAAGTGGTGACCTTAAAGCCCTTCACACATCCAAAAAAACAAATTGTGTCCACCTAGTTTAGAATATAAAATTTGACATGCCGTGCAAACTGCCTGCAGCCTACAAACCAATAGAAATCATGTACTCCTGGTTTTGGGTGAACCAAACTTCCTATTTTATTTTATTTTGACATATCAATTATGCTATTGTATTTTCCTAAGAAATCAGGTTGAAAACTGGTTTGAGAGTTTTTTTATCTGATTCCGTAACAACTGAAATACAGTTTAACTTATTTTTTTTTTCTGCATCTTGACATCTTGATAGCAATAGCACTTGGACTTGCATTTGCCCTACAGTGCTTTACAGCACAGGGCTTTACAGCATTCTCTGAGCGGTTTACAATGTCAGCATATTGCCCCCAACAATCTGGGTCCTCATTTTAAAGACCTTGGAAAGATGAAAGTCCGAGTCAACCTTGAGCCCTCTTGGGATCGAACCCCAGTACTGCATTCTAATCGCTGTACCACCAGGGCACCTCGATGAGGCTATTTTACTCACACATTGAGTTTGTTTAGCTTTTCATTAACTCTCAGGATAGGAAAGATTAAGCTTCAATTATGTAACTTAGATTTCAGATTGTTACAATATCTCCATGTTATTTAGACCCCTACAGTTTGCAATAATCAGTCTTTGCATTAGATAAAGTAAGCCATACTGTAATCAGACACCAGTCACAAACTGGGCTGTGTGTTTGATTATTCAGTTTGATATTACTGATCATTTTTTCTCACTGTTCTTAGAAATTTTTCTAGATCTCAGCTGAAAAATAGCAGATTGCTGATCAGTTCCTTCAATTTATTGGGTGCACTATCTAACCCAGTGATGGCGAACCTTTTGGAGACCGAGTGCCCAAACTGCAACCCAAAACCCACTTATGCATCGTCGGGTGCTGGGTGGGTGTGGCCCATTGGGTGGGCGTGGCTGGGTGGTAACAGCAGACTGGGTGGGACTAAAAAGTTCAATCAATCAATTCTAACTTTGCAAGATCTTTTTTTT